ACGATATGCATGTCCAACAAGTTTCGTGAGATGTATTTTAAATTTGCAGATACATTTCTTACAAGGAAAAAACTAGAGGCACAACCCCTAACCACACTCCTCTCTAGCTACAGTACACTGAGACCCACATGAGAATTTTAAAAAATTCTCATGTGGGCCCCAGTACACTGTAGCGAGAGAGGAGTATGGTCAGGGGTGTGACTGTAGCGCCACCATTCACTGAATAACTCTTTCTCACCAAACAGGCACCCAAATTTACAACCAACCTAAACTCATGTGTCTCATGTGTCATCCTATTCTAAGCTCCCGTGTTAATTCGAATCCTAGTTATTTATACACAAAACAAATGATTGTTTTGTGTGAAGGAGGAAAAATAAATAAAATATAGAAGGTTGCACCACCTATGAATCATTTCATAGGAGAAGCTTGTCAAATTGTTTGTCCCCTGGGTTAGAGGAGATTATAATGAGACAACTCCACGCCTTTCAAGCATCATTAATAGCATCATTAATGCTCACGCTAGACCTTGCATCGGTTAGTCAAAGACATGCAAACATGCGCTACAACCAAACCCACCGGCTAAAAAATAACTGCGTTTGATGCCATCATGAATGTCCTCACCTAATCAATGTTCGTGTCTTGAGTCATAATATTCTTCATTTTATAGTCTATAAAAAATACCATGGTTTTTTCTTTTGGAGTAGAGCACGGATCTTATCTGTCCCACTTCATGTAGCTGATTTTTTTTTTTTAATTAACAAGCTTGTTAGGTGTCAATTTTGCCAAATAGGGGCATGTGCAAAGTTTTAATTAATAAGAGCTAGCTAAAGGGAATAGTACTCAATCTTCAGATGAACACATGATAGTGTTTTAAATAGAACAAGACTGGCTGTTTGGTTCAATTTGGAGGTGGAGTAGTGGTAGCAAAAACTATTGACAAATGCTGCAAAATATTGCTTGGTTGACGTATAATAATAAAAAAATGTCCTGAATGTTAAGAGAGAAGGGCTTAAAATAACTTCCACAACATCAAAATAAACATTCCCCGTTTGGCAAATGGTTAAGGAAGAGGGATTAAAGAGAATGATTAACGTACTTAGCCCATTCGATAATCTGAAGGACTAAATTATTAACCCGTTAAATAAGTTTTATTTTAGTCCTTGTGATCAGTTTTAGTGTTAGGGAATAACAATGATTTTAACTATTTTTTTTATAATTAGAAGGGTTAACTCTTAATCCTTCTAAATAGGAGTATTAGTAAACCCCTCATTTTAATCCCTCTAGAGGGATTAACTTAACCCTTCTATATTTTTTATGTTTGACAAATTATGGAGGGTTAACTCACTTTAACCATTGTATAGATTTTTTCTGTTTGGCGGATTAAGAAAATGTTAAGTCTCATTAACCCATCACTTAACCCTTTGCCAAACAGTATCTAAGAGTTTTTATACTTTAACGTGCCCTGTTGTTGAGAACCCCCTTTATTTGAGAAATCTGTACTCTTTACTCAATGATGTCTTTTATTTATTAATTTTTTTTTCTAAAGGCGTGTGACAAGTTAAATCTGACCTATGCTGCTCTGGTAACATATTAAGTGTAGGGTTACAATTTCGTACTCTAATAAGAAATATTGCACTTTTGGTTTGCATATCCAAGACAAATCTTGTTGCATTCATATGAGGCTCCAGAAATTCAATCCACAGCAATTAGATCTCCTACCTGTTAGCCTGCAATATTTTGGTCGCTGGTGATATTTATTAGCATTTAAACCAGCATTAACTTAAGGGGTCAGCTCCATATAAATGCATTTCCTTGGTAATTGTAGCAATTAAACTTATGATCATATGATCAAAGTAGGAAATATGAAATCAAAACACATTATTTATCTTTTGGTTCTTCTGGAATCTTGAAGCTCATAGGTAGAAACAATGTAGCTACTACGAAATGCAAATACTAAGCATAAGCAAGAGTCTAATATAATGACTAAACAAGCCTAATATGTACACTTGGAGGAATCAAATTGTGTGCAATTGAGAAGAAAACCCATTTCAAAAAAGGGGGAAAAAAAAGAAAAGCAAAGGGGAATAAAAAAACACAAGAGAAACAACGAAACACAGAAGATTTACAAAGAAGCTAATTGAGAATTTAACCTCTTGAATATTCAACCTTCTATGTATATATAACATCCTGATACATCTCACTGATCTCCAACAATTGGCTCAAGATCTTTCAAAAGCCCCACAATTTGCTGCATTGAGGGCCTCTTCGATGGCAAATCCGCGGTGCAAAGATAGGCAATCTTCAATGCCTCCTCCATTTGCTTCTCTGACCCCGAGCTTCTAATCTTAGGATCAATTGCCATTAATCCTTGGCTTTTCTTCACTAGAGCTCTCCCCCAACCAACCAAACTCCTCTCTTTCTCTTCTGGGTACCGATCACCAACGGGTTTTTTCCCCGTAATCAGCTCAAAAAGAATTACGCCAAATCCATAAACATCCGATTTTGATGTTAAAGATTCAACTCCAGACTCGAAGAACTCAGGAGGAATGTATCCCGGTGACCCTTTAGAAAACTCACCCTCAAAATCATTTCCGACAACTTTATCCAATCCAAAATCAGACAATTTTGGCTCCAAGTCAGAATCGAGATAAATGCTGCTAGCTTTCACATCTCTATGCACTATTTGAGGAAAGCATCCATGATGAAGAAATGCTAGCGCCCGTGCAATGCCAAGCGCAATTTTATGCCTAAATCTCCAAGTAGTTTTTCCATCACTAGTTATGATTTGAACTCCATCGTTGTCTTCTTCCCAATTATCAGTGCTCCAATCTTCAGTTGTTTGAACTCCCAGTGGCAAATCATGAAGCAAATTTTGAAGATTGCCATTCTCCATGTACTCATATATCGCAATCCTTTGGTCTCCAGCTAAACAATAGCCCGTTAAAGGGACCAAATTTGGATGTTTTATTCTTCCAAGCCTCTCAAGCTCTCGTGAGATTTCTTGATCAGTTAATGTTGAGCAATGAACTAAAACTTTCACTGCTACCTGAATTCCTCCCGGGAGAAAGCCTCTGTACACTGGACCGAACCTCCCTTCAGCTAACAAAGTTCCTCTATCAAAATTTGAGGTTGCGGTCAAAAGATCAACAAAGGTGAAATCGAGCAATGGTTTCTCGAAAATTATGACAGGCACAGAATTGGCCTGTTTGACATCGGCAACCCAAGTTGTTGAATCTGTTTGAAACGAGAAAGGGCCTGAAACTCCTTGTTCTTCTTTATACGACATTTGCTTAACTGCCCATGATCTTGTTCTCTTTTTCAAGCCAAATACAATGCAGAGCAACGCAGTTATCAAGCAGAACGCTGTAAGAATTATGGCTAATGTGAGCTTTAGGCCTTTTTGCTTCGTTCTCTTGGCTCGGATTTGATCAGGGTTTGCGGCTATCGGGCAATCATCCCTGGAGCCAATGAATGCCGATTCTAATGTTTTCGGTGATAATTGATCAGCGCAAAAGGTGAGGTTGTTGTAAGAAAAATTGAATCTCGACAAATTAGGCAGTTGTTGTTGAAGAGATGTTGGGATTTCACCGGTTAGATTGTTCAATGAGAGGTCTAGAATTCGAAGGCTTTGAGAAATCAAATCAGGGACTTGGCCAGTTAAATGGTTCCGCGAAAGGTCTAGTATCGATAAACTCGAAAAATTAGAGATTTCGGCGAGAATTTGGCCTACGAGATTAGTACTTGACAGGTTGAGGTACTCTAAATTTGCGAGGTTTTCAACACGAGGGAAGTTTTGATGAGAGAATCTATTGAAAGCTAAATTGAGATGTTTCAGTGACTGAGCTCTGCTCAGATCACCGAACAACTCTCCACTGAGTTGGTTGCCAGATAAATCGAGATACATCAAGGAAGACCAATTGAACCCAGAGGTGAGATTTACCTGAGAGATATCGCCCTGAAATTGGTTGTCGCTCAAATCAAGGACCTCCAGAGGATCTTTAAACACCCCGACAATTGAACCCTGAAAGAAATTAGCCGAGAGGTTGAGATAAGTGATGAAGTCCAATTTAGACAAGTCCGGCATTTTCCCTTCAAACACATTTCCAGCAAGATTCAAACTCCTCAAGTTCTTAAAAGCAGCTCCGAAATCGTCAGTAACAGTCCCATTAAGCTTATTCATTGAAAAATCTAACGAGACCAAAGACTTGCACCCAACAATTCCACCTGGGATTTCCCCCTCGAAGCCATTGCCACTGAAGTTCAGCAGTTTCAAGCTCGACAGAGAGCCAACAGCGACAGGGATTTCACCCGAGAACAAATTATGCGAAAGATCGAAACTTTCAAGCGCTCCAAAGTTGCCAATGTTATTAGAGAGTGACCCATTAATCCCATTTCTCGAGAGATTTAGTGCAACCAGAGAGCCGCCCAAACCCCAGAAATCAGAGGAGAGTGCCGTGATGACATTATTGCTCAGATCCAAGACCCTCAGCTTCGTGAGCTTGCCAATGGTGTTATCAGGGATCGGGCCAGAGAGATTGAGGCCGGAGGCAATCAAGCTGAAAACATTGTTTCCTTCAGCATCACAAGAGACACCCGGCCACGAACAGAACGAAGAAGAGAGGCCATCGGTGAGCAAAGGAGTCTCTTTTCCCATGGTCTTAAAGAAATCAGAGAGATAGAAGCCGTCGGTATTGGGTTCTTGAGAGCGTGAAATTGTGAACAGGAGCGTGGAAATGAGGAAGGGAGCAAAGGAGGCGAGACCCATTCTGAGAGAGAGAGGGGATTGGTTCTTTAGCTTATTACGACGATGGAATAAGAGCTCATCTTTGAGCTCGCAGGGGAGAGAAAAAGATCAGATTTTGGACTGAGCTTTGGCCTCTTGTGTTGGGTTTGATGCTCACAGGAAGAGCGAGGACAGGCTCATTGAAGAGCTCTGTCTTATGAATTTTGTTGGTTCTTCTTTTGGACTTTTAGAGGGAGAGAGAGAGAGAGAGAGAGAGAGAGAGGTGGCGAGCGAGTGAGGTGAGGGGGTGGGTTTAATAAATGAGGCCAGGGGTGTTTGAATTTTACCGCAAAGTTTGATGCTGGAATTTAATGGGGTTGGGTGATGGTGGCTTCAGTGCAGTAATGTTTGCTTGCTCTCAATTTTGGAACTATTTTTTGGTCGTCACCGAAATCAAGGGATAAACAATAGGCTAATTAGCACTTACATGCCTTAAAACTTACTCTTCAGCTTGCACTCGTATACCCTCCCCTTTGCTCGTAAATTCCTAAGGGGTTGTTTGGATCGGTTTTTTGGATGGGTAAAATGGGAAAAGCCGCCGAAAAGCTGATATTTTTGGCAGCTTTCCCCTCTTTTACCCATCCAAAAACCGGAACCAAACGGGCCCTAAAAGTTGCATCTTAATACCTTATGTCATCCAAATGCGAGAGTTTTGCACCGAATTTTCTCGTACGATAGAAACTCAGTAAAAAGTTGTAACTCCTAATTCTCGCTAAATTTTCTGTTAAATAATATATTATACTTTTATTTTAAACATGCACAGATTATATTTTAAAATAAAGTATGATGGGTTTTACAACAAATTCAATAAACATAAATTAGCATGTGAACATTAAATAGAAAAACCCGGGACAAATTTCTCAAGTTTATATAATATAAGGTATTAAAGTGCAACTTTTAGAATCTTCGGGGTATATAATTGCCGTAAAAAACAAATGGGGGTATAAAGTGCGCAGTAGGGAAACTATAAGGTATATCAGTGCTATTTAGCCACAGACGATACTTTCTTATTTCATCAGAGGGCCTTTCAAGGGTCTTGGTTGTTTGGGGCCACGTAAGGACTTCTGGGGCTTTTTAATTAGTTCTGGGTGGTCCATTTTAGTGCCTACTTAAGTGGTTTGGACGTTGGCCCACTCGATAATGGGCCCAATAGGATCGGTCGGATTGATAGTTATGGTTCTTAGGCCCTTGGGCTCGTTTAGTGCCCATGGACGGGCGAGTGGCCTCATGGTAAAGCAAAAGCTATTATAGATTTCTAGTATAAGGGGGTGTTTGGTTCAATTTCTAGAAATTATAGGAAATGTTTTCCACCTAAAATATGATTTTCTTATATTTTTTAAAAAAATTATAGGAAAAATTTTGAGAAATCAAAAAGTACCAATTTTCTTATTTTTTGTATTTTGCTTGTTTAGTTCAAAACAAGAAAATAGCTCGTAAATTTATAGAAAATAACAAGATTTGTTAGGTTTTTAATTAAATATGGTATGTGTGTCAGATTTCTGGTGATTTCCTCTTATTTTGAGAGGAAATTGCTTTTTGTAAAATTTGGTAGGTTTTGATATTTTATAGAAAATATTTTTGTAAATTTTTTGTTGAACCAAACACAATTTACAGAAATCTCTGAAAAACTTTTAATTACAAATTTACCATTGTCAGATGTTTTGAAAAAAGTTTTCTCAAAAAGTGTGCAACCAAACAGCCCCTAAGAAGAACATAATTGACTTGGACGATGCCGCCACATTTGCGTGAAAAATGCTGGAAATATAATAGTTTGAACATTTGCGTGAAAAATGCTAGAAATATATCCTGCTACTTAGAATAGAAATATAGCAAGTTACATCAAAATAAATGAACTTAACACTACATACTAAACCGCTGAAGTGCCAGATGAACTTAAAATTGGTTTCCAAAAGTATTTTGTGTTTAATAGTAATTTTTGAAGTGTGCAGGTTTAAAAATAAATGGGGGGTAAAAACTTGGATTTATTTGTATCAAAATATTCTTTTTTTTTTAATCTGGCTGGGTTTAAAAATCAACAAGGATGAAACTTTGAGTCTATAAATAAAAAACATGTCAGTAGTCTGCAATAGCTCATCATTAGTGTGGAAAAAGACAATTGTAAATAATAATAATTTAAACATTTAATTTTAAAAATATGTTGTATGTCTAATCACTTGAAACTAGAATTTAACAACTTACACTGTATAATAAATTTAATATAAGAATTTACACCATATAACAAATTGTTAATAAAGTGATGTTAATTAAAATATTTTGGTAAATCAGTTTAGGTATAAGAGTGATTTTGGAAGTATGTGGGTTTATAGGAGGCGGCAAAATGTTAGATTTAGAGAAAAAAAGTTGCAACAAAATATAACAATTGACACCATATATCAAACAGTTGAAGTACAAAGTGCAGTTACACATTTCATTATATGTAAGTACCAAGATTAAAAAACTATTACAGTGACCAGAAGAACCACGTAAAACAATAATTGAGGCTATAATTATCTGATGTACAAGTATTACTAATGAAATACAAATCTAAGAAAATTTGTGAGGTAAATTAACAATGAAAAATTTGCATACTTACACTTAAATCGTAGTTTCATAATAATGACAAAAAAAGGTGACTTTGACTCAAATTGTAGTAATTCACTAAAGGGATAATTATAAATAGACCCCTATACTATCACCCGATTGTGAATAGACCTTGTAGTTCTATTTGGGGTAAATAAATCTCATATAGTATTGGCTTATGTACAAACACACACTTTTTAGTGAACTTTTTCAATTCACTTAAAAGTCAATAAATACTAGAACTATAGGAGGTCTATACGCCCCCTCAAAAAATAAAATAAAATAATAATAATAATAATAATAATTTTTTTGAGTTAAAATAAGGGATATACGTCTCGTTCAAAAGATATATTATAAACCTCCCTAACTTATATGTAGTCTATTCGCAATTAATTAATCCTTCATTAAAATTTCATGTTCCCTCTAATTTGATAACTTGATTTTCATGGTAGACTCGTTCTGCCTGATTTTTTTTATGGGAGGTGGAATTTTACAACTACCCAATTTATGCTCTATTCTTATAGAATTACCGCTAGCCTCTTGCAACTAAGCTTCTTCTTTACCTAGTAGTTCAACCTGTAATCCTAGTCAATTGCCAACGATTAGCTTTATTCCATCATTGTGTACCAATCATATACTTTATTGTTGACTATCAGCAAGAAATGCAACATATCAAGTGTAAATATGAAAATAAAATAAAATAAATAAATACAGAAACCATGCATGCAGAGAAAATAAATAAAGCAGCCAACGTCTTGTAATTGACTATGAGCAACTAGAAATACATCATATCAAGCAACCCCTGTAGTTTCAGCACGTAGGTAAATGAACTATGAACTTAATTTGTTCCCAAAATAATAATAATAAATATAAAGGCTAAATAGCACTTACATACTTTATAGCTTCACTTGCTTTGCACTTACATATCCTTATTTGTTTTTCATGGCATTTATATACCAAGTTATTTGAAGCTGGCACTTTAGTACCCTCTTCTATGCAAACGTAAAAATTTCCACGTAAGTGTTGCCAT